TACAGTTTAGGGGTTTAGGGTTTAGGGGGCTTAGGGTAGAAGATCTACAGATCAAGTGCCGATAGGGTTTAGGGTTTTGGGTTTAGGATAGAAGATCAAAAACTCACTAGGTCCATCTGCAGCGTCGTGCTGAGCCTCAGGGAGTCTTATTGGGAGGTTGGGAAGCACTTATGTAGGGGCCTGGAGTAGCTAGATTTTACCCTACAGATTTAAGGACTCATATATTAAGGCTTTTGGGCCCAAAGACCATACTATATAAGGCTTTTGAGCTATTTCGATCCTTAGGGTTAGGGATCTTGAATCCTTCGAGGTTGAGTGTTTAGAGTTTAGGCGCTCCAGTCTTCTTTGTCTTCGGGCGGGGGGGGTGTTGCGAATCGGAGCTTTTTTAGGAGGGGGTTTAGGGTTCTGGGGGAGTCCGAGTCTTTGCATCTGGATGGCACACCACGACTGAAAATTGAAGCTGCGGGCGAAACCTCTTCGGATTCCAGCTTTGCACGCGTCCGGTAGAGAGGTCGAGAGACGCGGCTTGAGGGTTTTCGATCTCAAGGGCGTTCAGAGCTTCTGGCGCCGTAGGGGGTGGGGTTTAGGGCGATAGGGTCGTAGGGTTTCAGGCTTCGGGGCTCATAATGTAGAAGCCTGGAGAATTACCCGTATTACTATTGTTATTCTCCTTTAGGGGTCCTCAGTATGATGATACTAGGGATCCCCAACGTGACGATACTCAGATTCATCAACATGGTGATACGGATGATGACATATATCCTGCATTACCCATAGTAGGGAATATACCACAATTCCCATAGTTTAGGGCCCTTAGGGTAATGCAGGATTTATATCATCAACAGTAGTGTACCGGGGACCCCACAACCCTGTTCTGCTGGGCTTCTGGGTTTCACGCCACAGGCTCCGAGGAATCCGCGGAAGCCCCACAGAAGCTGGATCGAGCTGGAGATCCCAAAAGGTATGAGCCTCAAAAAGCCTGATATAAGGGCCTCTGGAATAAGAAGAGGGGTATTTTATTATAGTAGTAGAGGTATTGTTACACGGTATTACCGTATACCTGTAACAAGGACCCTCGAAAGTCTTAAACCGTGGAGCCTTCACCCACCAAGCTTAGGCGTAGGATTTGCAGACACCGCATCGCAGGAAACCGAGCGAGCTCGGCAGCCCGAAATCAAACACAAGAGTCGGGAACGATCTCTGAAGCACAGCTAGGACATGGGCTTCAGACGTAGATACAATGCCAGCTAGCCACTGGGAGCCCCTCAAGCCCCACGCGCGATGACATGTCGTGTCATCAGCCGTACATTTCTACGCAAACGCATACCTGCACACATTCATTTGATTTGCGGATGTACGTAAGGACCACTGAACACACATCGACCCAAGCTTAGGTACACATAGATAGCGGGTACACATAAATATATATGTATAAATAAATAAATAAATATATGTATATATATATATATATACGTATACACATATATATATATACCCCCTGGCTTCATTACTCTTTCAACGTTTCATCTTCTAGGCTGGGAGATGAAAATCGCATGGGGGCTTGGGAAAATGCCCGCACCGAGGACAAAGCTTGACGACATGGACCTGGGATTCGCGAGCAGCGCCCTGAAATGTACAGCAACGTAAACGGACCGAATCCTTACTTATAAAGGGGTCTATAACGGTTACTATAAGGGATCTATAAGGGTACTATAATACAGGGCCTGAATAATCCTACAACTTACCTTTGGTTAGTAGGGAATGGAAGACTGGTAGTAATAGTAGTTATAGTTGTACCCCATTCCTCCATTCCCTACTAACCAAAGGTATGCTTAGAGCTTTAGGGCTGAAAGCCCCATTGGGGTTTCGGGCTATAGGCTTTGGACTTTAGGGTTTGGAGTTTTAGGGCTGAGGACTTTGCTTTAGGGTTTAGGCCTTGATGGATGTAGGGTGTAGGGGTTTTGGGGCAGGGTTGGGGGTTTAGGGTTCAGGGTTCTAGGCTTTTGGCTACAGGGTGTCATGTCAAGAGGGCTGTGGCTCTACGGGTTTAGGCTCGAAGGTTCGAGGCTTCGGTGCTGCAGGGCTTCAGTGGAAACATCGAAACATGCAACGAAAATTATGGAACCCTAAGGAATAGTCTGGATAATCACTCAGGCCTCTGATAGCCCTTAGAACATCCCAGAAAAGTCTAATCCGACATATAACCCCGGGTTTGGGGTTTAGAGCACGTGCGATGCCCAAGCCTCATGTAGGGCGATGCATGCAGGCGTCTCGATGAGACATGAAGGTCATCATGATACAGTACAAGAAGCCCAAAGTTGGAAACCCGTTAGCCTCAATCCTGAAGAGTAATGTATAGGGAACCCCAGCACTAATTGTCCTTAATTTAGGTTTCCATACGCTTTCAATTCGATTGAAGGCGTTTATGGGGATCCCGTGGGCCTTTTAGTCGGTTTCCCTTATTGTAAGGATGTTCGACGGGTTTAGGGGTTCAGGGTTTAGTTTAAGGGTTAGGGTTTCAGGGTTCAGGGTTTAGGGTTCAGGGTTTAGGGTTCAGGGTTTAGGGTCCTATACAGGAATCCTATCAAGGAGCTACTGCTGTTAATGCGCAGCGCTGTGGTCAAAGTCCCGCAGCAACTGGGGCACGACCCTAAACCCTCTTATAATAATAATAATAATCATAATAATAATAATAATAATAAGAATAATCACAATAATAATAATAATTGTTCTAAAGTGCACGGACCCTTTGTTCAGGTGAAGGGCACGAGGTCGAATGAACAGAATGCGGAGGTCTTGTAACCAATCATGAGGATACTGTTTCAATACTACTAGAAACCATAAGGGGCCACTCGTGTTAAGTATTCCGACCCTATTTCATGCTGGAGGACAACCGAACTAGGAAGATGAACCCAAAAGGCCAGACTACAAAAAACTGCCTTACACGTGTAAATGCCGAAAATATGTTCGAAAGAGGATCGAAGCGTCTGTCTCACATCGCCTTCTTTGAACAAAGGCTTTGCAGGAAGGGTTTCGGAGGTCGACATGAACAAGGCTGGCAACATGACCGTAAGCAGATCTCTACTAGACTGCACGAAGCCCTATTGACAAAGTTGAACCCAAAAAGTCTTGAACATTTCTCCGACACCATACTAAGCCCAAACTCCCAAATTTAAACCCTAGAGCACTAAAACCTAACTTTCACGCAATTCTCTCGCAAACCCAAGAACCCGTGTTCATCCGTAAGCCCTAAATGCTCAGTAGGATCTTGATTCTAAGGACCCCAAACTAAGGTACCCCTAATTTGCGGAAACTCCCATATTGGCGTTTATGTCAGGGTTCTGAAGCCTTCAGGTATTTAAGGTCATGTAAGGGTTATGATGTACATGTAGCAGTCAGGGTTGTAAGTCTTAGGGTGTCGGGCTTCGGGCTTAGAGTGTGTATGGTTTTTTGCGGGGTTCCATACTACATAGCTTTATCTCAATTAGGGTCCTCTATTTTCGGTAACTCCCATATTTCAAAACCACATGACACTCTACATCGCAGATCATCGCAGCACCAGTACAGGGCCCTTTTCGTCTAGAATCCTTGGAGGAGCGCCCGAGTTGAGGGTTCAAGGTTTGGGGTTCAGGCCTTAGCCCCGAGGATTTGGGGTATAGGGTTTGTAAGCTTTAAGGATTCAAAAACAACCTTCTTGGCAGATTTGCTGCCCCTTTCGCCAGCCGTCCCACGACGCAGAGACCCAGTCGCCGGTGCCGGAGGATGCTGTCAGAGCAGCTCCTCGTCGGCAGGACGAGTTTATGGCGGTGTGTCGAGGTGGAGAACGAGCTTTTCTCCGGTTTCAAACGTTTTTGCCAGGTTGTATAGGGGTTCCGATAGGTTTGTATGAGGGGTGCCTTAACCCTTACCTGGGTGTTACAAGTGCTATATCAGGTGGGTTTTAAGAGCTTCGTTTAGGTGTCAGACGCATCGCGATGGGTCAGGGGACTTACGGGAATTCCATCGGCTTAGGGTCGGGCTCAGGGTTTACTGGCGTCATAAACGTGTTATGGGAGGTAGTTCAAGGGTTTAGGAGTTTAGGTTCGCAAGGACTGCGAGGAAAAAACAGAGGGGTTGCTGGATATTCGCAGCGGCTTTAGCGACAAGGGCTACCAGCATTCGAGGCTTCCAGCACTAGACAACTTGTGGGGCCACAACAGCTTCTCAAATGAGCCAAGGGCATCGCAAGATTGCTTCCCCAAGTGGGACAACTTCAAGATATGTGCCGACCAAGTGGCTGCGCTTTTGAATAATTGATTGCTTAGTGCACTGCCTTTCGACATGGGGGCACAAGCGTTTCGAGCTCAAAGAATGACCAACAGTTCACACAACAAGCGAAGTGGCAGTATTAGGCTGGCGATCCCGCCTACACGCACAAACTCGTTCTTAGAGGGGTTTGGGGATTCAGTGTCTAAGCTACCACAAACCATGCTGCTCCCTCCATGCTGTCCGACAGCCATTGCAGTCTCATTACAGGCCCGAACGACATATATACTAGTTGACCTAATCAAACATTAGATGTTATGTATCGGGATTTTCCGGCGATATTTACACTACTTGTTCAGAAACCTGTGCTGGTATTTGGCACTTGCTCCAAAACTTCAAAAGCTCCGGTGCACCAGATCCTCGGAAGATGCACCAGCTGAAAATTTGCCGTCTTGCCGTGAGGTCGCTGGGAAGCGCTCCTTACGGATGGCAAGAGGAGGGCTTACGAAAGGGCCTAAATAATTACCTATAGTATTTTGGGGTTCCCTAATGTAATTATAGTAATGGGCCATTGTGAAGGCCCCTAGATCAAGTTTTGAGGCTTTCCTTGGCCAAGAAGGATCACCAGTAATTACAAGCAAGGGTCCCTTGCCACAGGTATCATTCGTGGAATTGAAAAATTATAAAACACATCTCCGACACTCCTCGCGGAAAAAGCCGCGGGGCTTCTCTTGGTAGGGCCCCCGGCGGATCATCTAAGTGACCACCATCTTTGAATTGGATCGGCCCAGGCGTACTGTAATGTCCACCTCAACTGTGCTTGCGGCTTCGTCTCTTTTGCAGTGCTTGCAGTCCAGAGCCCGGGACAAGTATCAATGGAGGGTGGCTCAGGCAGGAGAGCCGGCATTTCGCCCTAGCGACCGGAGGTGCTGCAAAGGTCACATGCATGGGTTTGGGGTCAGCAGAAAATTCAAATCCCTACACCCTATGCCCGAATCCTCGAAACCGTGATACCCTCCTGCCCTAAACCCTAACCAGAACCGTTATTGAACCCGTACAAACCCCCATAAAATCCGCATAACATCCCCATGAATCCCTCCAAAACCCTTTAAACGTTTGAGGGTTCCCTCCGAGCTCAGTCGCCAGCGATGTCTGGATCGTCACTCGTTAAGTCCGAGGAAGCTCGCTGCACCGACCTTCTGCGCTTGCAGGGGCGGAGGGGGGTTGTCTTGGGGTATGGATTTGCGGGCTTAGGGCTTGGGGTTGGGATGGGATTTAAGCTTTAAGGTGTTTGGCTGATGACCCAGAAGTTCTACGACTCGACGCTAATGTTGGGGCGTCAACAATTGGGTTTTGGGCTCCTCTATAGTATAAATATAATAAGGAACTCGAAGGAACAATATTGGTAATTAGTTAGCCTTCTCTGCTAGTGAGGAAACCCTAAACTCGACCTCCTATATTACTATACTACGGTCTTTCCATTATTTAGCTGTCTATAGGAAAACCGTAAATCCTAGCCACTGGTGCCTAGTCCCTAAACCCTAAACCCGCCCAAACCCTAACTTTCGAAGTCCTTATGCCTCAGGCCGGTGCATCACGACAAGCTCTCCAGGTTGCCGCCTCAGACTTGAGCGAAGTTTCAAAGGTTGTATCGGCTTTGTAGGCGTTCCTGGCAGGGCTTATAGGGTTTAGGGTTCAGACCTTATAGGGTAAGGCTTTGCGCTTTAGGGTTTAGGGCTGAAGAAGCTTAGTCGTTCTTGTTCTAGGTTTGTTAACGGTTTTTGGCAGGGGCTTGGGCTTTGTTCCTGTTTCCTGGGAGATCCCAAGTTATCCCTTGACTGAAAGACAGGTTTTGGGATGTATAGTTTATGTAGGAGCATTGAACTCGTCATAAGAAGGAAGCAGTATCTACTTCAAGCAGATTTCAGGTTCTAAGCGTGGAGTACAAGGAGTTCGGCTTGCTCTGTTTGGCCACTGGTGCGCTGATCATTCTTGCCATGCGAACTGATCATGTCAGTAGTTCGACACGGTGTCGGTCCCGCTTTGGGCTCACATCCGCTTGTAAAGAAGTGTATCTCTTTTGCAGGAGCATCTACCCACGCGACCCCATGCACCCTAAACCCTTCTAATAAGAACCCTTAGAGATCCATTTCCAGGAACCTTTGGTGTGCTTGTTCTGTCGAATTGACTGCTTGCGCCGGGCCGCTGATCCAAGTAGCGGAAGACGTCACTGGAGCTGGCAATTGGTCGGGAGCCCATCTTCACGATGACCTCAAAGCGGGCTTAAGGAACTTTACCTTAAGTTGCCACCAAAGAGGCCCTACTTAACGGGTCGGGGGACTTATTAAGTATGGCGGCATGGCTATGAATACGATAAACGTACATCTCAGTGCACTTGGCACCTAGCAGAATAACTAACCATAAACATGCTTGTGACTGCCCATGAACCTTCAAGTAGTTTCGGGTACCTTATCGAAGTTACGTCAAGGAGGGCTTTTCGTCAGTGAGCCTGTGCTGCACATATGAACTTGGGATGACTGAGTGCTCTTGGCGAACATGTCGAACTACCCGAAACCATTGCCCCTCATTACCGACACTAGGCCGGATGATGCCCCCGGAGAGCTGCATCCAGCTACACCCCCGATTCGTACGCTGCAGACTTCAGCGGCTCTTCGCAGTGCAAGCCCGTATTGCTCCTCCTACTCCGCAGTCTACCCACGACCAAGACAAATGGTCGCCAAGCGCTTGCGAATTATTGAAAGCGATAAAAACATTCATTCAGTAGGATTGTATACTCTTGTTATTACGAAACTGTATTTTTCCTATAACGATATTCCCAAAGTATTGTTCAGAAGTCCTGTTCTGTGGATGTCCTGCTCGGGGCGTGACGTCGCCGAGCTGACCGCTGCGAAGAGCCCTGGCATGTCAGCTTTCTCCACTCCTCTCTCTATAATGTATAAAAACGATTTAGGGTTCAGGGTTTAGTTTAGGGCTCAAGAACGTAACTATGATAATCAGAAACCCTTTCAAAGGAGATACTGCCTTCTTCCGGGCATCGACCTATTGAAGCTGTCGGAGGATCTGCGAAACCTGGTCTGCATTCGGACTATCATGTCGCCGCTCGGCAATCACTCATCCTGTCCTGTGAAAGCCTAGAGATCATCACAGGTAGGGGGAGGGGGATACGGGGGGCCGTAAAACTTATAATAAGGACTTAATAAAGCTAATTTAAGGAAGTGTGTCCCCTACCCCCCCCCCCCCAAAAAAAAAGGGTCTCCCTATGAGATCCTAAATCAAAACGCTGCAACCCGGTGGCCGGACGTACAAATCATACAAGCCTAAAGCCCTAAAGCCCTGGCAGTAGAGACAAGAATAGGGTTTAGGGTTTAGGGTTTAGGGTTATGAACCGAACTACCAGAAGCCTCTTACTCGGATTAAAACAGCCCGAAGATCCCCTCTGAAACCTCCCTACCCTTGAGGGAATAGAGAATCATCGTACCGTAACTCTTCATAGACTGCAACATAAGCAACCCTCAGCTCCATCAGAATTATAGGACCCAAAGACTCCACTATCCCTTAAGCAAGGAATAATACTCCTCAAATAATGGTAGGATCTATATGGTTTAAGGAATATTCCTTAATTAAGGGACATTGGAGTCTTTGGGGAGCAGCACGAATTGCCTCATTCCGGCTCGCTGTGCCGGCCCTCCAGGCACAACCTGACAGCAGCGCAGCTTAGCAGCAATTCAAGCGCAACAGACAGGATGCGGCTTCTGAACTATGCTGATCCCCTCATGCCCTCATTGGTAATTCCTGTTTTCAGCTATATACCTTAACTTTTCTTGTTTATGATTATGCGATCCTAGTCGATGCCATAGATCTCTTGCAGGCGAGGAAGAACTCGCTTGGCTAATGCCTAAACTTACCATGCCACGCTTTCTTGTGTGGGCCTTTACAACTTCAGGTTGTGCTGTATAATAATAAGAAGATCCTATGACAAAAGCTCAAGTCCAAGTAGGTTGAGCTAAACCGCCGTCCATCAGCCACTCATCCGCGAACTCTGAACCCTCAACCCTGACCCGACTGCCAGATCAAACTCGTCAGCTGTGGCTTTGATGATTGTGGGGCAGCTGCGAGGCTACCTTAAAGCTAAATCTCCTGGAGGCTCCAGTCTATCGTGACCAAAAAGTTTCAGTCAGGGCTTGCCCTAAGGCCCCAAAGTAGTTCCTTTTTGGGGTTACATTATACAACTCTAAATATGAACCCCCGAAAGGAACTACTTTGGGGCCATCGGGCTTGCCTGGGATGTGGGAGTTTCCGATTTTGGGGGGTCCTAGTATTTGGGGTGCGATGTTAGGGCCCCCTATCTTCCGAAGCTCCCAAATTGAGTATACTCTTTTGGGGGTTCCTTATTATAATCAGAGTATAGTGGGCCCCAAAACCCTCTTCTAAGAATTAAGGAGGGCTCCAAAAGGTCTTGGGCTTGTGAAGCTCAGGGTTTCTACACACCCAGCTTGCACTTCGGAAGTCTTGGCGCTCGTAGGTAGGGCGTTTAAGGGCTCCTTGCAAGGGCTGGTTTTAAAGGGTTCCTTTGAAAGGGGTCTTAAATATCATGACTTGAAGCTACAATGCCACAACTCTTAGGTCTTTCTAAGGGTTCCTTTGACAGGTGCCTTCTGTTTTTAAGGGATGTATCAGGAGGACTCTTTTTTGAAGTCTCGCGCTTCTTGGGGAAGCCCGCCGCTGCGCCTTCATGACCATGGCGCCTGGAACTCCAAGCGACTCGGAGACCTCAGGGCTTTCTGAGGCTTTCAGGGTTGTTTAAAAGGGTTTGGGGCTTAGGGGTTTGGGTTTAGGGGTTGGGGGTTTAGGGGTTTGGGGGTTTAGGGGTTTGGGGTTTAGGGGATTGGGGGTTTAAGGGTTTGAGGGTTTGGGGTTTAAGGTTTAGGTTTCGAGTGTGGGTCCTACTGGCTTTAGGGTTTAAGGCGTTGAATCTAGAAGTTCTCGAAGCTGAAGATCCAACAGGAGAGCACATACGGTTGATGATATAAATCCTGCATTACCTCAAGGACCCTAAACTCTGGGAATTATGGTACATTCCTTATATTGGGTAGTGCAGGATTTCTATCATCAACCGTAGGACTGCTTTTGTAGTCACCGGCACCGACAGTTCGCGCCACAGCGGCGTTGCTATTTTGACTAGGCTTCCGAAAGAGCAAAAGCTCTTTGCACTAGGGCAAAGGACGGCATATTTAATATAGCCTTAGATACCATGACTTCAGGCTACAATGCCACGACTCTTAGGTTACCCCAGACAAGGGCGCGTGTTGTACCCTAAAAAATCCCGTTTGGTACCCTTGCAACGCTGGACTCTTGAGATCCGCTTCTTGCCTCGTCCGGTGCAAGCTCCACGCCGATGCTGGGCCGGGTCACATAGCCTCCATTTCTTAGAGGGGTCGTGGAAGAGGATTGATATAGATTTCCAATGCTCCATGGTACGCGTACAGTGGACCCCAGAAAGTTGGAACATGGTTTTGGGAGGATTAGTGCTAGGATATCTTATACTTTACCTTTGGGGCATGAGAATAATGATGTTCCAACTTTCTGGCTTCTACTATAAGGGCTTTACCGAATACTTGGGCTGTCAAGGACTTTCAGGCTGAGATACTGGAGCCCGGCAACGTGGAAGAGAGAGTCAGTTCATCTGGTTCCTTGCGTAGGTTTCTGTGACTTTCTTTGTGCCAGGATGACTGAAGGCAGTATATTAAAATGCTCTACCGTACAATTATAGACTATAGGTGACCGCATTACATGCAGCTATGCTATCTGTTCCTTTATCACGGCTAAATAGTACTAGTAGTAGTCGTAGTAGTAGTAGTAGTAGTAGTAGTAGTAGTAGTAGTAGTAGTAGTAGTAGTCGTAGTAGTAGTAGTAGTAGTAGTAGTAGTAGTAGCAGTAGTAGTAGTAGTAGTAGTAGTAGTAGCAGTAGTAGTAGTAGCAGCAAACAAAACTAGCAAAAATAAGAAGACTGTTGATTGGAATAGTGATAGTAGGGGTCAAGTAGAATAGAGTTTGGGGTATATCCTATTATATTCTGACCATTAAATTCTAACCATAAATAAGGAACCTTGATGATTAGACTAGGGTTTGGGGGTATAATATACTATAACTACAACTATAGTTATAAATATTGAAGGAGCCCCCCAAAACCCTATTCTAATTGTTAAGGTCCCGAAACCCTAAACCCTTATGGTACCCTTATAGTATCCCTTTACAGGAACGTTAGGTGAGCCTTGCCTTCCTCAATCATGGACTCCACATTCTTCTGCACTGTGTCGATGGGCAGGGCGAAACCCACTCCCGAAAAGGTGCCTCGGCGGTTTTTTGAATTTGGGGTTTAGGGTTTCGGACTTGCAGTTTCTCGTGTAGGGTTTGCAATTTATGTTTTAGGGTTGCAGTTTATGGTTTAGGGTTGCAGTTTAGGGCTCAGCTTCTCCTCAAGCCTGCCTGACCTTCGGGGCTATGAGGGTCTCGGAGTCGATCTCTCGACTTTTGTGGGGAGAAGGGTATACCTAACTATGTGTATATATAATATTAATAATCATAATAACAATAACCATAATAATAATATACACAATATACTATATATATATATATACATAATAATAATAAGAAGAATAATGCTTAGGGAGGGAGGGGGGGAGGCCACAGCTTTACTTAATTTTACTTACCTTGGGTTAGTAGGGAATGGAAGATTGGTAGTGATAGTACTTATAATTGTACCCCATTCCTCCATTCCCTACTAACCAAAGGTAAGTTTACCAAGAGATCACTTCTTGGAGTCTGCACTGCACTCCTGACTCCTGAGGTGGATCCGAGGAAGATTCGACGACGTAGGACGTAGCACGATGTGCAACAGCGCACTTTGGTGTGCGATACGCAGCATGGGCATCATGTGGTGTGTAGAAAATTTGACGAATGATGTGCTAAAGCTCCACAATACGATCGACAAGCAGGGAATCGGACCGCTTGTTGACAGGATGGCCGTGTTGACACCAACCACAGATCCTGGCAGGGCACTCTGTGCATACGCTTCTACTGCTCTTCGAACCCTACATCCTGCATCTTCTAGGACCTCCGATCAACCACCACGCACACACACACACACACACACACACACTGACTGCAACCTAACAAACCTGCTTTGGGAATTCCTCACCATGAAACCTCTACATATACTATATACTTAATCCCTCAGACAAATCCTCTAAAAGTAATTAAAACCTCAAACAAGATAGGTCAGGCAGGTCTTCTGGGGTTACAGGCAGAGGCTGTAATGTAGCGCCCTAAACAAATGCAAATACTATTTTTGGGGGAAGGGGGAGATCCTTTTGAGAACAATCGTATAACACATTCGGCCCTATTCTAACTTAGTAAGGCCCCTAAACCCTAAACCCTTATAGTACCCGTATAGCATCCCTTAAGGAACCCTGTAAAGGAACCCTATTCTAACTATTGAGGCCCTAGAGTAAGTGAGACGTGGCCCCGCGGGCCTTCGCTATTCAAGAGAGGCCCTCCGCTGTTTCCAGGGTTGATGGAAGCATCCGTCTGGATGATACCTGGGGCTTGCGGTTCCCGTACTATAAGGGTTCTATAATAGGGTCTCCTTTCAGGGGTTCTATGAGGGATCCATAATAGGGTTCAGGGCTTTAGGGTTGAGGAGACAAGGAGCTCGTGAATGGAAAGCAGCACCGAGGCTAACAAGCACTCCACGAAAGTGCTTGCCAAGCTGCCGCTCATAGGCCATCCAGCCGTGCCCTGTGATGTGAGAGCTGGGCTGCTGCTCTAAACTTAATGGCAATTACTTAAAGGATCATGGGACTTAGTAACTAAGGTTACTATTAGGGTAACTGTACTTATAACTGCTTATAACCCCAATTAGGGTACTTATAACCATACTTACTAAGTCCCATGATCCTCCAAGTAAGGGAGCATCAGATCTTCTGCGCGATGCTACATGATGTATGGTGTAACATTCCTCAAGACGGCCTGGCCAGCTCGGCTCCGTTTTAACAGCCCTAGCTTTGCCCAAACCCAGCTGTAGAGCAAAACATGAAGCCTCTGAACTTACTGGTGCGAGAGTGGATCCCTATAACAACTCCTATATATTCCCCAAAACTAGTCCCTATATTCCCTCCTGCACTCTCCCTGTAGCACCAGTGCTGAAAGGATCATGGGACTTAGTAACTAAGGCGACTGAGGTCATTATTCGGGTAACGATACTTATAACAATCACTTATAACCCCAAACAAGGTACGTATTATATACTTACTAAGTCCCATGATCCTCCAGGCAGGTGAAGCCTGCAGACAAGCGCAGCTGTGCCTCCATGCTCCTAGAGACGCCACTAATCACTCCTTTGCCTCAGCCAGGAGCCAGGGTTGAGGGTTTGGGGTTTAGGGTTTAGGGTTTAGGGTTTAGGGGTTTAGGGTTTAGGGTTTAGGGTTTAGGGTTTAGGGGTTTAGGGGTTTAGGGTTTAGGGTTTAGGGTTTAGGGGTTTAGGGTTTAGGGTTTAGGGACAGTAGGCTACGACTTACCTTAACCCTGAAAAACCCTACCTTTTTAGGGATCCTTATTATGATGTTCTTATATAAGTCCTTAAAAAGGTAGGTTATTCAGGGTTAAGGCAGGGTTTAGGATTTACGCACACTTTGGAGCTTAGAGTTGACTATGTAGTACACGGTGCAGCATGCGTAATACATTCTGTACATGGTATGTCTTATATGCCGAACTATCGGCTCTCGAAACCCCGAAACCCAAAACCCCGAAACCCAAAACCCCAAGGGCGCCACTCATGCTGTGCTCGAGGCCAAACGGGTTGCCAAGAGCGAAGACCTGCCAGATGGGCGGTTGTCAAAACTAGGGTCCTTACTTTGGGGTCCTTATAACAAGGATCCTATTATTTAGGGTACTATACTAGGGTCCCCTATTTTCGGAAACTCCCATATGGGCGGTTGTCAAAACTATGGTCCACCAAAGAACCCTACAGAGCCCTTATGGAACCCTTATACTAACCCTTAAAGGAACCCTATTCTAATTGGGCGGTTGTGAAAAACTATGGTCCGTTTCTGGGTCCCTAATATCATACAGCACCTAATACTTAGGGTGTCCAAAAAAGGATCCTAATTTTGACAGCTACCCAGATGGTGGCAGTTCGAAGGGGCCTTGTATTGAGGATCCGATCACTGGCGGTTCTATGTTAGGTCACCGTTTTCTGCAACATGCCGAAGCATAAACGCCAGACCGAAACCCACAAACCCCAAACCGTCTACACCTTGAACCCTCAATTCTGAATCCACCTCATACCTCAAGCCCCAAAACCTCAAATCCCACCACCTCTTTAACCACACGAGCCTACAATGGGAAGACCCGCGTAAACTTCTAGACAACCTGTCTAATCCTTCGTACAAATACCATCAAAAACCACTGGAACTCTCCGCCTCCCCTTCGAAACCCCGAGTTATCCCCCGAGCTGAAAACCCTACAGCCCCAGGCCCCTAAACCTGAGTCCTGTCAAAACTGTACACTACCCTAGAAAAAAACTCTTAAGGCTCCTGCATTCCTGCAAGCTCTGTACCCAACCCCTTTACACCCCATGTAAATCTTTGCAAGGAGCCTACAAAAACGAAATCCTCAACGCTGAATCAGCCCAGCACTAAAGCTCTTGACCCTCATTTAGGGCCATAAAACCCTCCAAAACCCCCTCAACCCTAAACCCTATTGAGCTACTTGTACCATAAGGCCCAACCTTGTAAAGCTCGAAACCCGACACCCTCCGAAGCCCTACACAAATCCTTAAAAAGGGTAAAACTCCCGAAACCATCAATCGTGTAAAGCCCGGCCCAAAACACCCCCCCAAAAAAAGTATATGCACAGGCCTCCTGAAGCGCTACAAAAACCTAACAAAAGCTCCTACATCCCCCGGAAAACCTAACCTCTTAAAGCCCTGCCAAACAGTTACACCCCGTAAATATAAATATATATATATATATATATAAGTTATATTTGTATTTATATATATATATATACATACATACATACATGTATATATATATATATATGCCAAGCCCTACCCAAACCAGAACTCTCAAACCAAAAACACAAAGGAAAAAGGCTCGGGGCCTCTTGGCCCGGCTTGAGATTTTCCGAGGCCCCCCGGCTCAGCGGCTGCATCAGCGAGGCCACGTCCGTCTGGCTTCGGCTTTAAGGCGGTTCTTCGGTTTTGTCTGTTTTCGGCAGGGGTTTTAGAGGGTTTAGGGTTAGAGGGTTTTGGAGGGGTAAGGTTTAGGGATGGAGGGTTTAGGGTTTAGGAAAGGCACTAAATGAGACATACCGAACCATCCTTCTGCGAGAAAAAGACCTCGATTCCTCGATGCATCAAGCCAGCAACAATAAGTTGCCCCCACTAACCTTTCAGCCTCATCCAAGGAGGTTGCAACAATTTGCAGCTGGCCTGAGCTTGCGTTTAGGCCGCGGGGTTTGCAATTGCAGGGTACTTTGAGTTGCAGATATGGCCTTTACAGGGCTGCCTTTTAGCTTTTTGATTCGCAGAATCATGCCGGCCCAACGTTCTCTTCGGCATTGACCTGGAGGATTGCAATGTCCGACAGGGGATCTGCGCCGACCACGTAAGCACCTGGCGGATTCTGCGTTCCGAAAATTTCTGCCGGTAATGAACCCGCCCTACAAAGTAGGGCTCCGGCTTTGGAGGTTCAAGGATTCAAGGGTTTTTTTTTTTTTTTTGAGCACCTTTTTCCGTCTGCCTAAGAAGTTTTAGGAGTCAGGAATTCGCTTTGCGAAAGGCTGTGGTTGCCCTCAGAACTTCACGTAGATGGATCCCCCTTGTGGTCTTGTTGAGGTCCTGCTTCTGATGACCGTTGTGCTGACTCGCCATTATTCTCATCAAGCTGCGTCTCTCCAAGTCCGTTGCCGAAGCCCCCTTCCACAGCAAAGACCCCTGAGTGCACATGGGAACCAGTAGCTCCACTCTCGCCTGCCCCTTGCTCCACCAACTCTTGCAGTGCTTCCGGTTCCCACTCCACATACTCAGACAGCTCCTCCCTGCATGCCGCGACTCCAGCCATTTTCATCGTCAGAAACAAACGCATCCACTTGTCCCCGTAGATGGTCTGGATCGTGTCGTCGGAGATGTGGCCATCTGTCCATCTCTCAAACACCTGCTTGACCACAGCAAAGGGAACTCGTAGAGGTTGTGCGACCGAGCCGAACGGTGGGTTTGTCGGCCCTGCTTGTAGTGGGTCCGGGTCCCTGCGCATGTCGAGAATTTCATGGAGTCGGTGGTAGATGGCCGGAAGTCCCCACAGTCTCCATTGTGTAAAGAGACTGACCCAACGGTCACCGAAGCACATGGCAATGTCAGCCGAGGTTCTATGGCCATCCTTCCACTGCCCATACACATTCTCGAAAATACCAAAGCCTGGCCGTTCAGCTCCCGGCATAACCAGCGGTGAAGTGGGGACGGAAGGGGCTGCAGAGCGCGAGGAATCTTCCGCTTCGCCGGCCCCCGTGACCTCGTGTGCCTCCACTGGTGGGCACCCCGTGGCTTCCTCCATCAAAGCCATGTGCTGGGTTTCCAAGAGCTCCACTACCTGTGTACCATGTTCCCTGCGGATATCGTCCAAGGTGAGGTCGCCTCGCCTCCAACGAGCGTAGATCTCCTGGTACTCCCCAAACTCCATGTCCATCAGTGCATCCCCGGTTTGCTGGTCGTTGCACGGATCAGCTGCTGCCACCCCGTTCATTGGCTCTCCCGGCATGGGCATGGCCCCCTCCGACACCGCCTGGGTTGTCACATTCTCAGGCTCCGGTTCCATCCTAGCCCTGATTGAGATGGTGACCGCTTCGCCGTCCACCGGGATGTCAAGGGCAAGCGTGTGCATCACCCGCGGCTTGTCCGCCGAACCAGACGACGCTTCCATTGTCATCACGCAGCGTCTCTTAGCGGCGCCTGCCGATGGTTGCATAGCCCGTTCCATCTGATCCTGTTCCCATCGACGAAAAGCTTGAGCGTCAGCTCGTAGTTCACGGAGCTCCTGGATGCATGCCAGTTCATGCTTTTCCAGACGGTCCCTCTCCTCTGCTTCCTCCCTTTCGCGTTCGGCTTTCCAGGCCTTTTCGCTTTCCTCATCTTCCAAAAGCCGCTCCAGCTCCTTGTCCAACTCAGAGCCGTGAGCTGAGGCAGTCTGGGTCTCGATCTGGATCGGGTAGGAAGCGAGGCGGAATCCCGGGATGAACGCGGCAATTTCATTCACCCATTGGTCCAACCAGGCCCTGTCCAGGCACTCCATGTTCACCGTCTCAGCGGAGGACGGGCCCAGGGCAACCAAGAGTGCTTGAAGTTGCTCCTGCCAGTCCGACAGCGTGGAACCATGCGAACCACTTTGCAGGCTCACAGACAGCATCCGCACATGAGCCAGCTGGGCCTCCCGCGTGTGGGAGAGCAACTCTTTGTGCAGCCGTGTGAGTGCCCGTATTCCTCGCTGTTCGATCGTGTCGCGGCCGTCGGTCATCAAGAAGTGCTGCATGAGGAGGTTCACGTCATCCTCCTCAGGAACCTCCACCTCGACAGTGTCCCCTTCGGCCCTTTCACCCGTTTGAGCGATCGCCTCTGCGGTGTCCAAGGTTTGGGCAATTTCCGACATCATGTACCTCAAAACGGTGATGAGCGAGCATGTGGATACCAGTCTGTTCTGTCTCGACATTGCCTCGTGATGTGCACTGATCGATTGCAGCATAGGCCTGGGCAAAAAGTTGTTGGGTATTTGCGAGTTGCCCTGCAAATCCGGGCCACATCGGTCGCCATCAAACAGCAGGTGTCGCCATAGGTAAGTGGCTTGCACGGAGGTCATTGGTCTGGTGAGGTCCGGTGCCAGTGGCGACAACGAGACAGCATCACGGGACCCTGCACTGCCTGAACTGCCTTGCGCTCCAGTGGAACCAGAGGCTGGCTCCTCCCTGTGCGCCGTAGGGCGCGGTGCACCGGCAGGTCGCCCTCGGTTGGGCTTGCTTTCCCTAGACCCTGTCGCTGCTTCTCGTAACCGTGCTCCTCCCCTTTGTGGCCGTTCTTGGTGCCCGGACCGACAAGCAGGACCTGCTCTTTCATTTCGTCGAGGCGTACGGGAGTCACGAATGCGGCGTCGTCCGTGACTGTACCTGTCAGCCATCAGGCTAACTGAGTCGCTGGCAGAAGCTTCCGAGTCAGTCGGCGGGACTGGTACGGGTCCCGCTGCTTCACTTTCCTCCTGGTCCCTCTCACGTCTGTAGAAGCTCCAGATGAACTCCTCGACCGTGGTTGCCCATGCATAGAAGTCCCTTGGGGAGGTTTCACTGTCAATCCCATTGGCGTTTGGGTTGCCCCATCCCATAGTGAAGATGGGCGTTTCAGCCCATGTAGTATAGGCCTCGTTCTCCCTCTGCCTCGCCAGGTACCGAACCATGCGAACAGCCATACCAACCTCCCTGCCCTCAACAAACCAGTCCTCTAGCTGTTCCATCAACTCATGCCAGCGGCCTTGCCAGTTGGGTGGAACTTGGAACATAGAGTGTCCATCTCCCTCTGCACGTCCAGGCATGTCAGGCTGGGGCATGTCAGGCTGGGGCAGCTGTTCTCCCTGCTTCTGCTCCGTCTTGACTGCGAGTGTGGACCCTGTCTGACGGGGCCGCCGTGTTACCCCATAGTACGGTGACCTGGACCTCGACATCGTCTTTCGCTCCCTGTGTTCGGCCTCGTAGTACTCCTGCGGGAAGCGGGTGGCGTCCAAGAGTCCCCGCGATGCCAAGGCAAGCTCATTCTGCCTGTGTCGCCATGCTACGGGACATAGCCTCTGATACCACCTGTCCTTGATTGTTTCCAAGAAGTCCCGAACCCTTTGCCGGACAACCACCTCCGAAGGATGTCCCATGCCCCAAGCAACGAGGTCCACCTCGTATGGTTCATATGCATCTACCCGTCGGTACATCTCACCGATGATGAGGTCATTGTCCCTGTGAAATCTATCGTCCGTGATTCTGGCCAGCTCCTCGTGGATGGCGGCCCGGAGGCTACCTACTAGGAGCCCTCGATCCATCAGCTGCTCCAACCTCTCCACCCAGTCGCCAAACCATGCCGGTTCTCCCTCTGTTTCCCACGGCCGGTCAAAGGCAAAGACCAACGGAGCACTCATCATCCACAGCCCAAGGAGGGAGGTGGTGTCCTCCGTGTCCTCTGGCTCCGGCGCTGGTGAAGGAGAGCGAGTTCGCGGGCTCCAAGTACCCGACTCAGGATACACTCGCTGTGCGTGGAAGAGGCCGTAGGGGTACTGGGGGTCCGCTGCCGGCACGTTGTTCGCGAGTATCACCGTGTCCTGCGGTACCGAGCTAACAGGGTCAATGTGGGGGCGGTGCATGTAGAAGTCCTGCGCAGCAGCATGTTCCACCCGAATCGCCCATAGAACCTCAGGCTCCGATAGAGGCCTCGTGTGGAGGCTGGGGTTGAGGCGAGCTTCGAATGATGCCCGCAGACCCGAGAGTCTCCCTTTGCACCAGTTCCAGTACTCTGTATCCTCCCTGCTCCGAATTCTTGCAAGAACTGCCAACCACATTGGTTCGCGCCCTCGTCCCTGTGCTCGGAGCTTGTGCAACTGAGCCGTGACCGACTGGATCCATTGACACTCATCAGAGATCCTGGTGTTCAAGCGGCGAATCGTGTAATTCGGGGCCTCCGGGGGGTTCTGGACTCGCCGATCGCGGCAACGATGTTCCTGATCGTCACGAGCAGCAGGAAGTCCATCATCAGCAGGTACACTCACGGGTTCCACTGTGGCACGTGATTGTTCTTCAGGCTGAATTCCAAGATCATGCACATCCTCAGGTTGAGACCTTGAACCACCCGAGGCATTCATCATAGAAGAGACGGAAGAGGTAGAAGCTCCAGGAAGTTGCGGGTAGTTGGCTCCCACCACTGGGGCGGGATGAGATGTCGGGTTCTCCAAGCTTCGGTCCTCATCGGCAGCCATCACGGGTGCCTCAGAAGTCTCCGTCGTCAGGTTCAGTGAGCGTTTGCGCCCCAGTGGGGCGCCGCCCGCGAAAACCATCACAACCGTCGCCATCCACATGTCGCGGAGGCGGAAAGCCATGATCCAGGTAACAAAAGGAGGGTGCGAGAGGCGCGCTACGGCTCGATCGCTGGCATCAGGCGTACAAGACCCCTTCACAAAGCGTGCAAGCCCTGCAACACATCCCTCAGGAGACTGTACAAAGAAAGATACGCACCCTCAGATACCTCTGCAAACCCTGTCTCTCTCTGGAGTGTGGGGTGGGCCGAGGGAGGTTGCCAAGATCACGAATTCAGAAAAAACTAGACTGCACTTGCTGGCTCAGTCGATTAGAGGTCACCAAGAGAGAGTTGTCGACCCGAAGACCACGGTACGTCCATGTGATCAAGCCACTGTTGTTCCCGACCCTTCCATGCAACCCTGTCGTGTGCCAGAACCCTCCACGGGTGGCCTGCCACATGGTCCATATTCTTTTCAAGGAGGGTGAGGCGTGCGAAGTGGTGCCCCTTGTGCGTGATGGCGCGTCCTCTGGGCAAGGACTTCTGATGATTCCACCATGGGAGGGTACGGAAGTTTTCGAAGT